ATAGGAATTTTAGGTATCGCAGACTATCAACAATTACAAGACTTATGGGGTTCTGATCATTTTCCAGTTTGGTTGGAGATAAATACTAAAAAGGAAACTTATATGAAGAGAAATAATAGAATTTCTACCAAAAAGACGGATTGGACAAAATATTATGTATGGTTGGACAATCGTGTCGAGAATCTGAGACAAGAAATGGTTAATGTGGTCGATTTGGAAAGCAAATGTTCTACTTTTTTTAAAGATATCAAAGCTGCAGTTTTGTACGCGTCGGATAAATTTATAGAATATAAACAACTTTTCTTAGTGGAGGGCTATCAGGAAGAGGAAGAGACAAGTAATTTGGATTGCAAAAGGAAAAAAGGTAACAAAAATAAAGAGAGTCATCAAGTCATTTGGTGGGATGCGGAATGTGATTTAACGATAGAAAGGAATGTTTCAAGGAATATATTAGAATAAAAGATCAGCATTCTTTTGTAAAATATAAAAAGGCTAGAGCAATAGCTCGTAAAATAATTAATAAAAAGAAAAGAAATAGTTTTATACGTTTTTGTGCGAGTATTAACAAATTTTCGAATATCAAATATGTATGGCAGGTTATGAGAATATTTAAGAATTCTAGGAAAGGAATTAAATGGAATGCATGGCAACAAGCAGACAGACAACAAGCTATTAGGATGGAAATTGAAAAATTATCTCCTATTTGGGTACCAGAACCGCATATCGCAATTAATAATAGTAAATTAGAAGAACGGTATAATTGTTTAGAATTGGATTTTTGTATAGAAGAATTGGATAGAGCACTGGTTATGATTAAAAAGATTTCGGCTCCTGGTAGAGATGGCATAGATTATAATATGCTCAAGAACTTGCCAGAAGAATATAAGTTGGTATTGCTATCTCTGTTTGAATGAAATTTGGTGGAAACATCGACTCCCGGAAGAGTGGCATAAATATCAAATATTTTTTATAGATAAGGCTAATAAAGAGAAGGTCAGGCCAATTGCATTGTCATCTTGTGTTGGTAAATTAATGGAAAGAATGATCAATGAACGCTTTATTTGGTGGGCTGAGAACAATAAAGTTTTGAATAAAGATCAGTTTGGTTTCAGAAGAGGTAGGTCATGTGGTGATAACTTAGTAAAAATCACTACGGATATCAGAATCGGTCAGCTGAGAGATGAATATACATTGTCTGCTTTTTTGGATGTTTCAGCTGCTTACGATAATGTGCTTAAGATATAGTGTTATGATAAATAAACTGATTACATTGAATTGCCCATCTAATATACTCAGATTTGTTGAGAGATGGTTATATAGTAGTGTTGTAAAAGGAGATTCACCAAGACACAATTAATTTTGGTAGTACAATAAACACTTGTTTTATTATATGAAGACAAGGTAAGTTTCAGGTATACATGTATCAAGTGTAAAAAAACATGGTAAGTAAAAGTAACTGAGAGAAGAGGCAGAATGATATAGAGGGCTCTATAGGAATATAGTACATGTAGAGACATCTCTACATCACATATGGAGATATTTCGTTAAATGTTCAACAAGTAGAGATACAGAATTTATAACTAATGGTGAGAATATAATTAATAGAATAATTTATAAAGGTGTGTGTGTTTACCTCAAGGTGCTGTTCTGAGCCCTTTGCTATATGCCATTTATACATGTGATATTACTGAAGGTTTGCCGCATACTTTACAAATTGTTCAGTTTGCTGATGATATTGCTATTTACTCAACAGATGTCGATAGAAATTAGAACCGTGATATTCTGGAGGGAGCGGTTAATGTTATAGCAAATAATTTGGAACGATTGGGTCTAGAACTTCAACCTTCTAAAACAGAACTGATTGAATTTTCAAAACATGGAGTGATAGACATGGATATGGTAATAGATGTTAAAAATGTTAGAATTAGTTGTTCAAGGAATACAAAATTTCTTGGTGTCTGGTTTGATAACAACTTAAAGTTCCATAAACAGATTAATGAAGTTAGAGGTAAAGTATTTCTGGCCAATTCAATGTTACAATATATGAACGGAGTTTCTAGAGGAATTGAAGTTAATACAGCGTTAATGCTGTATAAGAGCCTAGTAAGATCGGTTGCAGAATACGGTATTATGATATTTTATCCTCGGGAAAACGTTTTAGACTCAGTCTAGAAAGAGCTCAATTTAGAGGAATTAGAATGGCATTAGGATATAGAAATTCTGCATCAAATAACGTTTTGATTGCTGAACCAAAAGTTATGTTATTAAGAGAGAGAGCAGGTTTTTTGGCTCGTAATCAAGTTAGCAAAATTGCCATTTATGGACAAGACTATATGAGTAATAGGCTGGATTCTTTAACGGATTTAGAAAATTTTCATGTTTTCCGATATCCATTGGCTAAGAAGAGTGTTATTGTGGAAGCATGGGAAAATATAAGAGGTATCCACAGAATTATGGGACAGAACCGAAGATTTGAGATTTTTTATACTAGATATGAAGCACTGACAAAAGAAGTGAAAATAGATTGTTTGACGGGATATAGACGTAAGAGAGAAGAGATTAATGATGGAGAATTTATTGACGCAGTTATCGAAAAGTTTGGTTTGTCTATGGAACCTACGATCTTTTACACGGATGGCTCGAAATCTGATGACTCAATTGCAACCGGTGCCGGTGTTGTGCTGGAGGGCAGTACTACTGCGTATAGTATTAGTTTGCCAAGAGAATGCTCTTCATTTACAGCAGAGGCTTTTGCCATTAAAGCAGTGTTAGATATTATTTATAATGAATGTGTTTCTGTTAAAAAAGATGTTATTATTTTCTCTGATTGTCAAGCTGTTATTAAGGCAATTAACAATAATGAGATTAATGTATATAAGAATATGTATATAGTAGAAATTAGGAAAAGGTTGTTTGAAATATATAATAAAATGGATAAAAATATAATAATTGTTTAGACACCGGCGCATATAGGAGTAGTTGGTAATGAGGTAGCTGATAGAATGGCTAAAGAGAGATCTAAGGAGGAGGTGCAGGGAGATATTGTGGTTCCTCTTTTAGATGTTAGAAGTTTATTTAGACAGAATATGTGGAATAATACGCAATCCACTATAGTTCAAGATTCTAGAGCTGTTGGTACTTTTTATTTTAAGAATTTTTATAACCCTGCTATGAATAAACCTTGGTTTGCGGAGTTTGATAAGGAAAGAGCTTTTATGACTTTCGTAAACAGGCTTAGATCGAATCATTATAATCTTAATGAGTCGTTAGCTAGAAAAGGTTATATTGACAGTGCTAGATGTGATTGTGGTTATGAGATTAAGGATGTGGATCATGTTATATGGAGATGTAGTAAATATGACGAAGCCAGAATTCGACTAGATTTGGAACTTAGAAGTAGAGGCATTTTTGATGAGAATAGTATTTTCACTTGGATTAAGAGAGGTAGATGGACAGCTGTGAGAATAGTCTATAACTTTTTTAGGAGTATAAATAGGGTCATCTAGGGTATTTTGGAATAGACAGTCAAGATTGGAGAGTTTTGTGTGTCATATAACCTAAAGGATAGGTTGAAGACACTTATTGTCGCCAGCCGGCGACACTGAGCAAAGAAAAAAAAGGCATAAAGGTTAGACTGCGTGCTCGGCGAGTTTTTGCTGTTGAAAATAATGGAGCAGAGAGTTTGTATTAATTTTTGTGTAAAAAATGGTATTAAGTGTTCAAAAACTCTTGAAATGTTAACAGTGGCGTACGGTGAGTCAACTTTGAGCAAAAAAATGTTTATAAATGGTATAAGTTATTCCAAGAGGGCCGAGAAAATGTTAACGATGAACCTCGCTCTGGACGCCCCAGCACGTCAAAAACCGACGAAAATGTTCAGGAAGTGAAAGAAATTGTGTTGAAAAATCGTCGAATCACGATTAGAGAAATAGCTGATGATCTTAACATATCGTTTGGCTCATGCCAATCAATTTTAACGGATGTTTTGGGTATGACACGTGTGTCAGCGAAATTCATTCCAAAACTGTTTAATTTTGATCAGAAGCAGCGTCGCATGAACATCGCCCAAGACATGTTGAACGACGTCAATGATGATCCTGATCTGCTCAAAAGGGCTATAACTGGTGACGAAACATGGGTATATGGTTATGACGTCGAAACCAAAGCCCAATCATCCCAGTGGAAGAGCCCAGGAGAGCCAAGTTCGTTCAAGGCACGCCAAGTTCGTTCGAATGTGAAAGTTTTGCTCACAGTTTTCTTTGATTACCATGGCGTTGTGCATCAAGAATTCCTACCACAAGGTCGTACGGTAAACAAGGAGTATTACCTTGAGGTTATGCGGCGTTTGCGTGAATCAATAAGAAAAAAACGTCCGGAAGTGTGGAAAGAAAATTCATGGATTCTGCACCATGATAATGCACCTGCGCACACGTCGTTACTAGTGAGTAGTTTTTTGGCCAAAAACAATACTGTCATCATGCCTCAGCCACCGTATTCACCAGACTTGGCCCCCTGCGACTTTTTCCTCTTCCCAAAATTGAAAAGGCCCATGAAAGGACTGAGGAAAGGAAATTTGGATGAATTGTTGATTGAAGCAGTTAGAAACAAATATGCACTTTATGATTTTCGTATACCTGCTTCGGAAAGAAGTATGTTGCGCAAGAATGCATTATGGATGGAAGTTTCGAATATATTACAAGGTACATTTTACCATCTAGGATTTTTTCTCGAAAATTATCGCAGACGAAGATACTAAGGATATTTATAATATTTGTAACGTATACTATAATATTTTTGAACATTTTTATGGGTAATATTTTTCATAGAAATACAGTCCTTGCAAGATCTTTTTCTTATTTTATCATGTATATATATATATAAAGTTTAAAAATAAAAAAAAGTTAATAAAATATATATAAAGTTCTCTTATTTTATATATATATATATATATATATATATAAAAAGAAAATTATATATCTGCTAATACCGAGAATAAGTCGAAATTTCAATATTATGAACTTATGAGATTCCTGGACGATTCATTGCAGACACGGCTGTAAGTTTTCTCTTCAATAATCACATGTACATATGTACATACGAGTATTGTTCGACTGTAAATTGCGCAGTTTGTGACCCATTCATTAATAAATTTTAGGACAGTGAGTTCGTTAACAGATGCTGATGCTGAAAGTGGAGTAATCACTTCACTTAATATAGAAAACAAGCGACGCAAAGATGATGCTGTAGCTGGGCCTTCGACAATGCATCAGATTTCAGCTATTAACAATTCTCCACAGACTTCCCCATATGTTTCTTCGCGGACGCTGACACCCACAAATATTTCTCCACAGATACTCAATTCTATCAATGTTCTTTCACAAACCTCGACATCTACAAATCATTTTCCATCAACTGAAAGCAAACTATCCACACAAAGACATGGTTCAAAACGAAAACGTTTGTTTTTTTATATTTTCATTTATCAAAGTTTCTTTTAATTATCACACAGGAATGAAATTTTAATTTCTTTGTAGAATCATCACAAGATGATGCCTATCAAACAGCTTTAATAGAAGCTCTGAAAGAGCCATCAACGCAAGAGATTGATCCACTGGACGGATTTCTTGTCCGCTTGGGAGAAGGCATGCGGAAACTACCATACCGAGACAGAGCACGATTAGAAATTTTTGACATCACTTTTTGAAATGGAAAATAGTTGCTTCAATCGAGATTTTGACAAATTAACGTAATCGTCATTAAGAAGGAGACCAATCAGCCTATTCGAAAGGCAATGCTATTTTAATGATCGAATGATGAAAGATTAAAATTAAATATTTAATAGGTTGCGTTTCGTAGCATCATTCGAATCGACATTTTTTAATGTGTTCTTTATTCTATAAGAAGAGTCAAAAAATTCCGTGCAATATATAAGAGTACAATACCATAATTTTTTTGTCATTCAAAATGATTTTTTTCGTAAATCTCTTAATATTTTATTTTATCACGAAAAAGTAACTGTAATAAGACTTTAATGCGACAATATTTCTTCTATAGGCTTTGTAGACATGATAGTTATTTGTAGGAATTTGGGGACCATTACTTTTTAACTGTTACTTTCTATAATAATATTGCAATTTTTTTACGGAAACGATAAAAGCTAAGGTTAGGAAAAAGTTATTTTGAAAAATAATTTCTTACCTTTACGCGTTATTTATTGGAAAACGTGACTCATTGTTTGTAACGCGTCGACTCGTTATATTTATTCGTTACTTTAACTTGTTACAAGAGTTATTTTTTGTGTATAATAACTATCATGCTTGATACTTACTTTTCATTCTTAATTATACTATTCTCATTCTTATATTATGTTATCATACATATAGAGGGAATATAATTTGATGATTTTTTTTGTTGCTTTATATGTTTTTCTATGGTAAATTCCAGTTTTATTTCTTATTTTACATATTATATGTTTATTTTTTATTCTAAAGAAAGTAACTTTTGCGAAACTTTATAAATATATTGTACAGTAATGGCTTCTGCACACTGGACGCGAAAAAGCTTGCCGCTACTGCGTCACATTTTACCGCGCGGTTAGCATTTCCGCATCCAGTGTGCAGGAGCCATAAAGCTTTAATGTTTTAATTTACTGTAAAATGTGATATTACTATTATAATCTACTGTTCAAAATGTGATATTCGATTGTAGTCGCATTACTGTTAGAATACAAACGAGATTAAGCGTTGTATAATGTTATGTGTTAAGTACTATAAAATGTTATGAATGTGTATGAGACATTGCTTTGCATAGAACCTCGTTTAATCACATTGTGATTGACCACAAATCATTTACATCGCTTGTCTAGTAGAAAAACTTTAGGCATCTGTCGCCAAATGGCTGTGATCAGTCTCAACGTGATGAAATAGAATACTTCCATACACATAACAATGTATGATGTAAATTTTAAAATGTTAAGCATTGAACTTCTTTTATTAAAACATGTACATTGAGACACTGATATTTTAGTTGTATCATTTTTATAAATATATGGAAAGATTTCAAGTATATTATTAAAAATCATTGTTAAGAACTTTCTCCCACTGACAAGATATTGCTCCGCCATGTTCAAAGTATGATGCAAAATCGTCCCGAATTCTGGAGACTAGTCGATTATGGGCGTTAGTAGATCTGCCAGCATTGTTCATTTCTTGCAATGCACTGTGAATCAAATCTTCGTCATTTGTAGTAATACAAGTGTATTGCCTTTGGAAGTTTTGCAACTTGTTTTCATTTTTTATTATAAAATTGTGTAAGCATGTAGTTGCTTGAACAATTCTTATTGCAGTGGAGATTGATGCAATTATCGGACGTCGATAGATTCGCCATTGTGCTACCATAATGCCAAATGCACTTTCGATTACTCTTCTTGCTCTACTTAAGCGGTAATTAAATATTTTTTTCTGACGATTTAATCGACTACATCGAGGGTATGGTCGCATCATATATGATTTCAGAGCGAATGCCTCATCTGCCACTAACACATATGGTAAAGGAGGTCCATTAGGTTCCACTGCACTTGATTGCGGTAAATTCATTTCATTTCTTTCTAATCGTTGACCAAACTTTGAGTTCGCAAAGATACCTCCATCACTTTGTCTACCCTCAGCTCCAATGTCAACTAGTGTGAAGCAATAATCGGCATCCGAAACTGCTAACAAGTTGATACTATGAGTCCCTTTGTAATTATAATATACTGATCCACTATGAGGTGGTGCCTAAAAGGCATAGAAAAAAATTGTTATAGATTAATTATTCTAACACTTTTTGATACAAATAAATAACAAATATATTTCGGAAAAAATGTTACCTGAATTACAATGTGTTTTCCATCTATTGCACCTAAACAATACAGGAAATTCCATTTTCTCTCAAATTCATTCGCGATTCTCAACCAAGATTCTTCATTTGGTACTGGCATAACAGATTCGTGAAGAAAAATCCACAATGCTGCGCATGTTTCAGAAATAATTTTTGAAACAGTGCTTACTCCAATTCTAAATGCATAGGATATTGAGGCCATACTGTCACCGGAAGTAACGCAAACATACTAAAAGTCGTGTGCGAGCCGATATTGGATCTCGAACAACGTTTTGCTTTTCAATAAGAGGCCCAACAATACTCAGTAATTGATCGAATAGTTCTACAGATATTCTACAGTAATTGTAGAACATTTCTTGGTCTTGTAGCTGCATTTCTATGGCTAAACTATCTCCTTGTAAATGTCTTTGTAATTGTGTAAATATTGGACGAACCCACATCCTCTGGTTTCCTTCTCTTTTATACTTCATTAGAAGTTTCCATAGTGCAATGAATTCCAATATATTCCGTTTGCCAACTTTCCGATGTCGTAACGTTAGTTTTATCTTCCTTGCCAATAATCTTTTTTTGCAAATAATTACTGATACAAGGTTAGAATTCATTATATTCAAGGAATTTTATGAATTCTTGGAAAACGAATTCTGTAAATAAATTTACTAATAAATACAAAGAAAATAAAAAATTTATTTTATTAAAAAAAGGGGACTAGAAGAATGTATGATAAAAATAATAAATAACCTTCACGCTTTCAATAACTAATGAAAAAAATTAAATGTAACGATTATTTTATATATGATGCATTTATTCGATTATTAAAGCAGTTCAACTTTTTATTTGGTATACGAGTATATTATATGTCAGCGATTAACAACAGATTATGGACACTGTTATTTACTGCAATCTTATTTCATATAGGTAAGATACGGATAATGCGCGCTTTCACATCCCATTTCACATGACGCGTATTTAACAATACGCCTAAATAATAACAACCAATAAAGGAGCCGTTTAGTATTTTTACTCTATTGTACAAAAGAAAGTTTGATCTGTCATTGGTTAGCTTTATAAAATTATTGGTTATGCTTTATGCGAATTTTATGAAATACGCCCCATATGAATGAGGTACTTTTAAACTGGCATAACTTCTAGTAAATTACTAGCATACGCAGGTTACGCTTACGCAAAGTAGCCGCATGTACAGGCACCCTAAATAAGGGTGCCGTCACACGCGGCGTAACCTGCGTAAGCGTAACCTGCGTATTCTAGTAATTTACTAGAATACATTATTTTTTATTTGCTAGAATGCGCCATTTCTGAAAGCCCGCATTCACATTGAGCGTATTTTACGGAAGATTAGAGAAATGCGGAACTAATGCAACTAATTGCTGATTAGAATTTCTGTTGTATACTCTAACAGAAATGCTAAATGAATTTACGATTGGTTTTCGTAATCTACGCATCTCGAAAAGTACGCCTTATGGGGAACCGGTACCTTTCCATCGCGTATATATGAACGGATGATCGAATAAATTATTAAAATCGGAAAATTTTGTGAAACCACTCGTAGGCTTATTCGATGCGTTTTTGCATGAAACAAAAGAATCTGGAAAAAAAAAACGTTCTGCCTTGTGATCTGAAATATTAAGCGTTAAAGTTGATGACTATTGAGATTAGGAAATCTGTCACAGAGGCAAAATGAGATCTATGATTGTACTGTTCCACATGGGTTTCGATTTTTCACGCGATGCAAAGGGACGCACGACTTTTATAATTATACTGTTAACTGTTGCAAAATCGAAACCCTTGTGCATTTTTTCAGACAGAATAAGCTAAATTGAGCCAGAAATGAGATTCGACGCATAGTGGTTCTATTATGTTTCGGCGTAACAACAAAATAGCGTAAAAAGCTAGACAGAAACTGATGTTCAAGTGAAATGATATGATTTGTCGGCGCAAGTTACGTTACACAAGTTACGCAGCATGTGACGGCACCCTAACTCCATCCGAAACGGATCTCAACCGTGCACAGCGTACACATTCTATTCCAACTGAATCGTGCACAACGTTACACTTTGTGCACTTCTGTGTGCGTTTGTGTTAAAATGTGTTAAGCAATTGGAAAGCACCCAGTATCATGGTATAAATACAAGTGTATGCTCGACCGGTGGACGAGTTTAGGAGGCCTCTGCCTACGTCACATTCGTGCAATCTCGGTTACGTTCGAAGCACTTCGGCCGACTAAAATATGGCTGCCATCAGTGATAACAATTTCTAGCGGTTTTCCAGCTAGATGTAGCGTTTTTTAGAGGTTGTCTAGCTGCAAAATTAAAGAAAAAAAAAAATCCCGTAGAATTACCGCTAGCCACATTTCTTAAATTTTGCAGCTAGACAACCTCTTTAGATTAAATGTAGCTTTTTCCGCCTGTATTAAACAAAAAAAAGTAAAAGTACCGGCCACTCAACGTCTTCCAACCTCATTTGTAGCCACCGCAGTTAGTAACATGTAATTGTCACTAGAAAACACAAGCTTACACAGCCCTCGAGTACTGAGTACGGATGTATAGTGTTGGGTTTGTTCCCGTCGCGTGCTCCAACATGCTCCTACCATAGCTCCTATTCACTTCAACGATCATGTTGGAATAAGTAGGAACTATGGTAGGAGCATGTTGGAGCATGCGACGTAAACAAACTTGTTGTGTCGGCTGTGTTCCAAAATTGTTTGTCAGCACTGGCAGTACTGCCAACACCGTTCCAAAAATCATCGTAGCACGCTGTGGCAGTGCTGCGAGAGGG